CCCCCAGTTATTTTGTGTTTCTTTGTGATTGCTTTGAGTTTACTTTCAGAAGTCATCCTTCTCTGTGTAATCATTTTAATTCTCTATAGGTGGTTTTTTCAGTTTTAACCTTTTTGAGATGCATCTCACAAGCATATAAATCGTTGTTTTCAGACTGTCATATTTGAATCACTTCACAGTCTGTTTGTCATTTGTGTCTTTTTGCAGTTCCCTGATTTCACCCCCATAAGCTAATATTAACAGAAGGTCTGTCTCAAAAGCTCCCTGATCCCTTGTGGTCCCTGCAGGCTTGTTAAGTCATTTTTCTACAATTGTCAACCCCCAACTAATTCATCATGCATGAGGATTTGCAACCACATTGCATTTTTGCCATGGTAGGTAGTCACTGTAGTAACAAGTAGATGCATTTTGATTTTTTATTTCTGAAAAATTCTGCAAACAACTTGTAAAACACACTAAATAAACTCAAGAATGTTTAAAGGAGTGGACTGAATGAATGGAGCACAGTGCAATCTAAAGGCTAAGTAAACATACAAAACCAGGAGCTCTGGCGAAATAATAAAATTTTAAACAACACCTTGTTAACAAGCTTTTAAACCAAAGCTTATAAGCTTCTCCAGACACAGGAAACAGTAAAACTAGGCGATTATATTTAATTGAAAAACAGGCACATCTTATTGTTCTGTATTTGACGCCATTAAATATGTATTTTATGTTAAGTAATCTGTGTGTCTGCCCTGTCCTGCTGTGGATAATCTCTCAATGCCAGTAAGGTCACAGTCCATAAAGCAGCATCATTGGTGCAGAGATTATGTCATTTAATCCCACAAAGACACATAAAGATAACCTTTATGTAAATCACAATACCATCTCCATTCTGTCAGAAAAAAACATACATTTATGTGGTTGGAAACTAGAGTCCACAGAGTAAAAGAGGTGGAGATGTCAAGAGTGGAGGCAGGTGTAGATTGTAGATGTCTGTCTGAAGTCAATATTAGATCGAAACACAAATAAAAGATGCATGAATGGCCCCACAAGGCAGATGACCAGTGACTGGGAAATCAAGAGCTAGATACATAAAAGGGCAGGAATGCAGCATATTTCCACTCATGTCTGCAGCCATGAATGGAAAGTAAATCACATAAAAAACTGTGTTTACACCACCAGGTTATTCAGATGGCAATGAGAGGAACAGCAAAGAAGCTTACATTCATTGAATGTGAAATTCAGAGCTTTGCTGCTGGAGCTGTTGGTGGTCTCAGTTAGTACTTAAGGGAATAAAGTCAACAGGAGAGTGGATAACACAGCAGCAGGGGGGCCGTCCTTCTTCTGCACTAATTAGTAGTTATTATATTATCATTATTGTTGTTAAGTTCAGTATGCACATCATTAATTTACGATGCAGCCTGTGAATATAGTGCATTTAAATATCTTCAATTTGCAAGATTTTATGGTTTTGGGTGTGCACATGGAAAGTATCCTCCCTTCTCACCCTATAAATTCTAGATTACGTCCTTAGCTTAATACATGGATATCATTTGGAAATGTAATGGGGCCTTATAAGGGCCTATAAGGAACATTTTTAAGATCCCTAACCTTTTCAAGTAAATTTAGAAATTCATCTCTCTCTAAATATATAAAGAGGATATTTCATGTATTTTAGCCTTTTCATTTTGCCCCTTTTCTAATCAAATGAATGCAAACAGGAAGAATATGTGTATGTACTGAATACTGAAGTGTGTTTGAACGGGTATTTTACTGTCCGTCTGTCATGTGTGGGTCACGGGTGCTGTAACAGGTCTGGAAGTAGCTGCATATCATCATTTACGACATGCATGCACACATGTGTACTCAGATTAATTTAAACCATGTAACATGACAAAAGATAAAAGGAAAGAATGAAAGTGGCAGTAAATAAACCAGCCTCACAAGCTCATACACCATTATCATATCAGCGGTTCAATGACCCAGGAGCCATTCATACATCTTACTGTGACCCTCTTTTCCTTCCTTCCTTGAAGCCTTTAATCTCAACACATCATCAGTGAGCAAGGCCAACACCAACAAACTGGCAGTCTCTGCAGAAATATACTGCTTTGCTGCATTGCAAGAGCTCATTTCTGAAGGTAGCAGAATAAGTAGGAGGTCACAGGTTCAATAAAAAAATATCCTATTTGTGCAAAAAGGAAAACGTTCAGGAGCTTTCCCGCACCAAAGGAAATGTTGGTTAATTATAAAAGCATCACTAGTCTGGCTTAAAACACCTTAAGCGATTTAGAAAAGACTAATTTCTTTATAATAATTACACAAAGATATTATCAGTTTTAAAGTGAATGATTAGATTCGTCTCTCTGCAGAGATCTGACCCCATCTTTCATTACTCTGACATCCTGTTTGTGTCTCCTCACTCTGCCTCTCCCTCATTACAGGACCGACACACATCACATTAACATTACCCCAGTGATGTGAACACAAACAGACACTTTAGGGATACAGATCTGGCACCCTCTGTATCTACAGGAAGTCAAGGAAGATGAATCCAAAATGCAAGAACTGAAAGAAAAACATTCCAGCAGATGTTTTTGTCTTAAAAAACAAATAAACTCGGGCTAATGTGACTCTGGTCTCATGGTCCAGTCGTTTCTATTGTACTTTACAGCATTGAACAGCCAGAGAAAAACATCTTTCACTCTCTATAAAGTCCAGACAGAGTTTCACTGATAAAATGAGGAAAAGCAGGCGATTCCTCCTAAAAATGAACCTGTCAGTGTGTGAAACCCTTATATCTCCGTCTAGTGGTGGAGAACGGAAATTACAGATGAGTCAGAGTTGGCCTGAATGACCTCTTGTTTATGTTTCTCCACTTGTATGTTTTCATCTTCACGTCATGATGTGTATTAATAGTAAATACATAAGCGTGAACTTAAATAAAAGTAGTAAAATATGTGTTCGAGTGTATTTTTCACTGTTTTCTTCCCGCAGTGCGAGTCTTCTGCATGTGTGTTTGTTAGCATGTGTATTGTTGTGTGTCTGTGCTGCATGCAGAGTCCAGCTGCACTGTGAATGTGCCAAAAGTACACAAAGTCCTTGACACAACAGCATGACCAAACACTTCAGCTGCAGAGCTCCACCTTGGCTTCTAACTTTAACGTCAGCCACAAACATTTCACACAGAAACCTCTCTGTTGCTTACGTGCCTACTCATGAAACATCTAAAAAATGAAAGCTAACATCAAACAGTCTGATCTCATTATCCACGCCTGCATTTTTGTGTAAATTACTTCCTAATAATGCAGCTGAGCTCCCTTAATAACCAGCTGAGAGATTAAATCAAATCTATTGTGAGTGACTTGGATTTAAGTTAAGACTCTTTACAGGGTCTGACCTTTGCTCTACTGTTTTGACTTTCACAAATAAGCAAATTCAATCATAGATAAAAATGCATTTAAAAGATTATAACAACAAAGCATGAGTATAAACTCTTAACTGGTTCAAGTGTAATCGGTGAGGTCTGCAATCAGATGTTTCCAATCATGCAATGAGAAAATATGAATGGCATGAGAAGCAGTTTAATGCATCTAATTTGGGTAAGTGCTTTAGCTTTGATCCAAATACTTGTAGATTCATACTAGTAACCACTTTAGCTTACCTCTTATTAATTTATAAAGACTGTTAGTCCAAAATGTGATTATTTAAAATTGTCCTGGTTTTCTTATGTTTCAGTTTCATTGTAACATAAAATTTAAAAAAGAACAGATTTAAATGTGTCCATAATATTTTTCTGTAAATGAATAGATTTAGTGTCTTAATTGAAAACACATCTGACACTCTGCTGTAAAAATCTTTGTTGGTTCTGAACCTTTAGCCCCATAAGACGAGAAATTAATCCCAGGATATGACACTGCTAAAAACGTCTGTCAAGTTTATTTTTAGTTTTATATTCAGTTGATTTCCAGACCAGCAGGTATCTTACAGTACATGTCATCACAGATCTATCACAATCACACTCTAAAACACATTTTGTCTTTAGAAACCATACATTACGAGCTCTTGGTGCATCTTAAAGTATACCCTTCTTTGCTGCCCATTTTACTCTAAATTAACCCGTCACTGACAAAATGAACATCATGTTGTAATAAACATGACTTTAAACTGGTGACTGAGACCATAAATTTAACAGAAAAATGTTTACTGTGGTCACAGAATGAGATAGAAATAGAACTAGTTTCCGCTATATTTCTGTACAGTTTGACCTCTCTTTGTAGCCAGGTGTCGCCCCCTGCTGGACACTGGAAGAAGTACAGGTTTAAGGCATTTGAGCATTGGCAGGTCATGAACAGTTTATACCAAAGACACTATCTACTTGCTTTCCTCCCAAAAAAGGAAAAAAGAACCTGTAAAACTTTATAGTGCTTAGAGGATGTAGCCTACTGGCACATCACGGCCAACCGAAAAAAGTTTGTTGGGTGGTGCTTTTTTCTTTTTTTAAACTTTATGTTTCTCTTGCTTTCAAAGTTTCCTTTTCACCACACAATCACTTTTATTTCCCTTTAGTCTCCTTGCTTCATTCCCTTCCTTCTTTCTTTACAATCCTATCTTGTCCATCTCTTTCTGTTTTAAGCTCTTCTACTGTTTCCTCTCATCTTTACTTCTTTCTCATTCATAGCAGTCGTTCTCCTTTTGTTTTTCCGTCTTGTTCCTCGAGCTCATTTCTCTTTCCAAGTTCTTTTTTTAAGTTGTCAGTGCTTGTCTTCATCCTCCTGTTAATCATTCTCTTCTCTGTGTTATGACCTCCTTCACCCTCACATCTATTCACAGAGTCACCCTTTCTTTCCCCTCTTTAAATTCTCCCCCTCTCTCTCCGACTCCATTTCTCTCCTCTCTTCATTACTTTCTAAACTCACACGATCATTCACTCCTCGGTCTCTCTCTCCCTCCTTTCTCCACTCCAAATTAAAATTCGGACACTCTCTCACTCCTTCGCTATTTGTTTTGCGCCCCTTTTATATCCAGTGTCAGTCTCTCTCACCCCTGCCGCCATTGCTTCTCCTAGCCTTGCATAACCATGGAAACAGAGTAGACCACGTCACCATGGCAACAGGGTAATAGCCAGGGCCTTGAGCCGAGGCTTCCTTTCAGTTTGCCTGCAAAAAAAAAATTTTAAAAATCCAGCAGGCAGGATGGCGGACGCCTAAGTTACATGCAGGCAAAGACATCTGAGGTCCTGATGCTCATATGCATAAATTATCACTGCTGCTGCCTCACTCACACTGAGCAAATGTATCACACTGTGTCATTTCCTTTCTTATTTTGTTGTACAAATAATTTCCAAACCATCCTTTATTTGTTGTGTCTCTCCATTACTGCATCTCCATGTAAGTAAAACAAGAAAACCTAAATGTTCAGCATTCATGAGGAATTTTGAAGTCAGAAAGCCTTTTCTGTGATTTAATTGGATGTGATGTAATTACGTCACAACCAAAATCTGAAGAAGAGTAGCAACTCTTGTAAAAATATGCACAAAAACTTCCTTCTATAGAAGGAAGTTTTTGTGCATATTTTTACAAGAGTAACAAGAGTTACAAGAAATATATAAGAAAATTATCCCATTTCCCATTTCTAACCTAATTTGTGACCTCAGTAAAAAATTTCAGTTCATGGTTTTAAGTCTTACTTAATGCAACTTGACGTTTAGTTTTTTATTTTATGGTCCAATGAAGAGTAAAAGAGATGTTAAAGCCACCTTATGATTGAAAAGTCAGCACACTATGGGTATGCAGTGCCCTGAGGTTAATGCTCATCAAAAACAAAATTACAACACAAAGATGGGAGATATCGCATTAGCTATGACCATCTTTTATATACAGTCTAAGACTAACAAACTACTTTTAAAATATTTTTATTCTGGTCTGTGTTCATCTGTTTACAGCCCCCAATTAGTTCAAAATGTAATTTGGTGGGAAAATACTGAATTTTCACTCACGTACACAGAAAAACTAGCAGCTGTTGGTCGGTTTCATTGACATTCAGATTCAGCAGACAGGCAGTGCAACCCAAAGTGTCTGAATAACAGAGTCCAGTCACTACAGCAGTGTCTCTCTTTATCCTCTCCAGTATTCACAAAGCTCCCAGTGTTTCCTCCCCTCGCCCTCCACTTCTTCTGCCTGCTCTTTCTTCAGATGTGTAGGGATGCAACTTTTCCAAAATAAAAATAGATATTTTCCGAGAGAAAAGAATACCTTCTTGCTAGCACTACATCTCTGTGCTGCGTGTCCTTAGTCTGTATGAATATGTTATCATGGGGCTAAACTGTGTGGCTTATAAGCAGACTAATATATTCACATTCTGACCTCTGTTTGACTGCAAATTGAGGTCAGTGTAAACACGCCGTACAGATTATTTAAAATGTAAAATCATCACAATAGGCTGCACACGCCTGAGCGAGCACTGAACAAGCCTGGGAGATACAGGATGTTACCAGAAGCATGAGCTTTAAATGAAAGCCTCTGCAGAGTGAATTCGACAGCGTCAGTATTACAGAGACACTCGTGCTCTGCTTGTCACATCAAACCATTTAGCAGACAGGATATAAAAATGTACAGCATGCTTTACTCAGCAACAAGAACTTATCAAAGCTGACAAGGGGCAAGTGCAAGGTTGCACCTCATAGCACAAACACAGACAGACAACCATTAACATTTAAACCTATAACTATGTTGGATGACCAGTTAATCTGACATTTACATCTCTGGATGGACGCCAGGTTTGAACCCAGAACCTCCTGTCTGAGACGAGCTAGCGCTTACCACCATGTATTTCCACTATATCATTTGAACGGACTGAAGAAGATTCAGTTAGTCACATGATTTCTGATCTAAATGATTTCTCCTTTAAAATATCTTAATGCAGGACTCAACATAGGGTGCAAAAGGAAACAACTGTGGATCAAGGAGAAAGTATTTTGCACAAGTAAAACCATTTAAATTCACATAATCATGAATCAAAAAACAAAAACAATGTAAAACAGGAAAAAACTAAAAGTCACACTAATCAAGACAAGAAGAGATGCAGAAAGAACGACAATAAGAAGAACATACAGGGAAACTACCACTAATAATAATCTAAATATAGCAGGATAAGAGAGACACAAGAAGAATACTAAAATCTCCAAACTGATAGATAAAAATAAATAAATGATGAACTCAAGGGGTTAAAAACAAAAACTGGACAAAATCTCAAATAACACAAAATCAGGACCATGTGCAGAAGCATAGAAGAAAACATAGACACAGCTTCAAACTGGGACTTCACCAACCTGTCAGTGAAATCTTGTTGGTTATATCTATTTTTAATTTACAGTCTTACATATTACTGAATCATCGGCCCATCTTATATCAGGACCCTGTAGTCCTGTGATTTTTTTGTTCCACAGTAAAGCTCTTTATTGTCTGTACTTCTGGAACACAGTATGGGTACACACTTTACAGAGTGGTAACAGGCAGTTGTGAGGTAACTGTACTGCTCTGTACTGCATTAAAAGAGGCTTACAACTACTTTTTGTCCCCCACACCCACTCTATATGTTTTTATTTAGCTGTGGCAAAATGTCTTTGGATCTCCTTTAACCTTCTTGGGGTGTAAAACAAAAAGAAAAGAGTTGTGTTGATGTAATGGTTGAGTTCATAGGATCAGTTGCTATTTGTTGCATTGCTCTAAATTCACAGTGAGTCTGAACATAAAGTCAAATGTTTCGTTGGCAGGTGGAGAGAAAAATGCCACACAGCAGACTTTGGCAGTGTTAGTTAGGTGTTGCCTGTGTTTCAGCCCCAGGGTGGTTTGTGGCGACGCCAACATTTACTCGACTGCTACGTGCTGCCGCCAGAACTGAATGATCTCCACGCAATCGAGTCTGACTCGCTGACTCACCCACAAGGCA